GAGCCATGCTATGGCATCATAGCATCATGCATACTTTTCGCTTGAAACTGGCTTTTCTTTCAAAACATTTCTGTTTGTCTTGTCAATCAAGGTTCATAAATTAAAGAAAAGAAAAACAACAACAGTGATACAGGATCTGTTTTAAAACTGGGATTTTGAATGTAGTTTTGCGTGCCTACCGCCTCTGTACCTAAGGCTGCTGCTGTTGTTATGCCAATAAAGGTTTGTTGTGTTGTTGTTGAATGTGTTCTCATAATATGCTGGCAACAGTGCATAACTTTTTATAGTGTTTTTTTTTTGCTGTACTATAGTATGGATTTGAATATGATTTTATTATGTATATGTCTATTTTTTATACTGATGTGCACCACCTTGAGTCATGCTCCACAGGGCAGCTTTACAAATCAAAATAAATAAATAAATACCCTTTTATATTTCTGTTCCTTGAGTGGGCATTCCTGTTTCCAGAACCAATGACCAACCACTGCTGTGGAAAAAAGGGGTTACCCACAGAGAATCCTGTGATCCATCAACTAGATCTCACATGAAGGCACTGTCATTCATAAAATCTTCACCATTTTGTTTGAGGCCATTCCCAGATACTTGGTTGAGCCAAAAGCAGAGACAGAGGCCATATGAGGAATATTCAGCATCAGTTTTGGAGGAGCGTGAAATATTCATAAGATATCTCCTTGTTAGGGAGGGAAGGAGGATACCACCTACCATGGAGGCAGAAGATGTGCTTCCAAGAGTAGACAAGTACAGGAAAAGCAGAGAGTCCCTTTGTTCAAAGTCCCAGCTAAAATTGAGATTACGCCTTGGAAACATGGGAATCATCACTAGAGTAAGTGAACAAACATATTCCTAAATGCATGGAAAGCATACAAGTGCCATAAGAGGAAAACAAATCTGAATTAGCCCCCAGTCATTTGTCTGGAGTTAGGTGAATTTGTGGGTTATAGAAAAAGCACCAACCTTCAGCTGTTTGTATGCAGTACCCTTACAGGGAGCAAGAAAATAAGTCAGACAGAGGAGCTATGTCTGCACAATATTTAGGAAATTAGGGCAGCTGTGATAGGGAAAATAACTCTATTTTTCTTGGAAAGGGAAAAATTAGCTCATTTTTTCCCTAGAGAAGGGGAGGGAGAAAGGGTGAGAAAGAGGAACTGCTGATTTATAATCTTGCTTTCTCTTTTCTGTTAGTTCATGGGTATCACAGCTCTCTATTGAGGACAAGCCAAAGATTTTGTACAGCCCAGAATAAAATTAATATGATTTTTTTCATTTTTCTTATCAAGATGCAACAGAAAGAAACCATTAGATCATATAGTCATAGTTATATCGGTTTAATGTATCCAAAACCAGCTCCTAATAGGAAAGTTAGGATTCCAAGTACTTCATGTACCACACATGAAGGGGCCTTTCTGGCTTCCCTTACCACTGAAGCTTATCTTGCTCTCCAAAAAGCTGCTCCTACAGTTTGAGACCATTAAGATCAGTACTTAAAGCAGCATGGCGGGGTGGGGGGGTTACAGCCAGAACAAAAAATATATAACCTTCCAATGCATGGGTTGAAATGTTTCCTGCTTGCAGATGGAGCTCTTTTTGTATCCGATCGTATTTACATGCCACTTTTAAACTTCACTTTTCCCAGACAGCATACAGATAAGCAATTACATAAACCAAATGAAATATATTAAAATAACCTCGCAAAAATAATTCCCCACTTTGGCAAGAAAATCAATGGATAATTCTGATTAACTCATACTATTCCACTTTAAGGGGTTGTATGGATAAAATGGGTAGAGGGAGAGGAAGATCCATGTATACCACCTGGAGCTCCTTGGAGGAAGGGTGATATTTAAATTAAATTAAATAAATATTAAAACTGGGGTACTGCAATGACAAAATGCCTCAACTTTATGTGAAATTTCTGTATTATATTTATAGATTGGAAAGTAACAGTTTGCAAGATCTTTCTAAACAGATGGCGTAGTTTTCTTAAGACAATACGTTTCATGGGTTGATTATAACAGTTTATTAATTTTTCTGTTGCAGCTCTGAAAGTGAATAGTTCCATCTTGTGTTTAGTTTTACAGCGGTAAAAAAGCACCTCTATTGAACATTTTAATACAAATCAATTAATGTTGTAGTTGGCCCATGTAAGAGGTAATTGTTTGACATAGTTCATTATTTTGGGAATGATGTGAGCACAAAGAATTTACACATATTTGCCTCACCTTACATATCTCCTTGTGGTTGTGATTTTGCCAATTATTAACGAACTGTGTAGGACTGTTGCAGACTGTAATCTGAATGGGCCCGTAATGTATATGGTGGAGAAACATCATGAATCTTGGATAAAAGTGTGGAATTTGATACTATTAATGCGAGCAATACCATTTAAAGAGAACATTTATAAAATGTTCTACAGATGGCATTGGACGCCAGAGAGGATAGCGAAATGCTATGCAACAGCTAATAGAAACTGTTGGAGATGTAAAAGAAATATTGGGACATATATACATATGT